TATTTTAGCAAATGACTCATGTGCAGCTGAAAAAAATTTATATTCCACTGTGCTTGGGTACAGCACTGTGTATATGTCTACCAAGTCCATTTGTTCCAAGTTCTGATTCAGTTCTGCTACTTCTTTGCTAGTTTCTTGTCTAGTTGATCTATCTTTTTGGGATAAGGGGGTGTTAAGGTCCCTGTTAAGATTGTTGTATTAGATATTAGATTTTTCATGTCTATTAAGGTTTGTCTTACATAGTTGGGTGCTCCTTTGTTTGGTGGATACATATTTATGAGTGTTACCTCTTGAATTTTTCCCCTAGTCAGTATATCATGGCCTTTTTCATTTCGCTTGGTTGTTCTTGGTTTGAAGTTGAGACTGTTGGAGAACAATATTACTACCCCTGCTTTTTTCTGAAGTGCTGGGGCATATAGTATTGTTTTCCATCCTTTGACTTTCAGCCTATGAGTTCCTTTATGAGTTACGTGTGTTTCTTGTATACAGCACATTGTTGGATTTTGTTTCCTCATCCACTGTGCCAGTCTATTTCTCTTAATTGGTGAATTGAGTCCTTTTACATTGATGGTTAGAATTGAGATGTGTTGACTTAGGATTGACATGTTATTTACCTGTTATTTTTTAACTATTTTTTCTCCTGTGCTTAATTGTTTGTCCTATTTAGTGGGTTCATTCTGTTCTCATTGCTGGAGTTCTCATCATTTTGGTCCCAGTCTAGAACATCTTTCAGTAGTCTGTGTAGGGTTGGCCTTGCCATGAAGAAATTTTTTAGTTGTTCTTTGTCATGAAAGTATTTCACTTCTTCATCAAAATTGAAAGAGAATTTTGCAGGGTATAATAGTCTGGGCTGGAATTTGTTTTCATAGCAGACTCGAAATACTCAGCCCCATGCTGTTCTTGCCTTCATGGTTTGTGAAGAGAAGTCCCCTGTAATTCTGATGGGTTTTCCTTTAAATGTGATCTACTTCTTTTCTCTAGTGGCTTTCAGTATCATATTCTTGTGTTGGATTTTTGGGATTTTGACTATTATATGTCTCGTATACTTCGGTTACCTGAATGTCAGATTGTTTCCTCATATTTGGGAAGTATTCTTCTATTACTTCTGCCCATATTCTTTTTATATCATTTGTATTGACGACTTATTTCTCATTGATGTCTATTAGTCTCACATTGTTTATGTTTATGTCATCTTGCAAGTGTTGAATTATTTTTTCCTGCATCCTAATTGTTTTTAAGAGCTCTTTTCTTACCTTTTCCAGTAGCCTCACCAGCGTCTTCAAGATCTGAAACTGTCTTCACTTTCATTCAAATGGTTTTGCAGGCTTTTGATTGAGATTTTATGTTCCTCTATATCTCTTTGACTCTGCTTCTTGTGATCTATTTCTTTCCTGTATTGCTCATTCAAGGATTCCATCATTTAAAAAAAAATCTCTTGTATCAATGTCTTTTTTAGAAGCAATTATTAATTCTTTTACTACGGAGTTTTTTTACAGATTGGGTTTCTTCCACATGTTTCTGTATTTAATTCTTTACTTCAGGTGCTATGAATTCAGAGATTTCTGTTTTCATTTCAGATACTAATTCTACTTTGAGTTCCTTTAAACCTTTGTGCAGTTTCTTATTTACTTCTGACGATAGTAATTCATATATTTCAGCTAAGCTAATGTCTATTGCTCTTGTTCTGTGTGGGCATTCCATTTCTTCCATATGTTTCTGCATTTGATTGTTTAGTTCAGATGCTATGAATTCAAAGTTTTCTTTTTTTTTGTTCTAGAAATTAATTCTGCGCTGAGTTCCTCTATATCTTTCTGCTGTTGTTTATTTAATTCCGACACTATTGATTCATATATTTCAGCTGAGCTAGTGTCCTGTTCACTTGTTATAGGTGGGCTCAAGGACTGAGATTGCATTTTGCTCCTTGTCTTTATCATTTCATATAGCACTGACCTCTGACCTTTGGTGTAGAGCTTTGGTGCAGTTATATCCTTATCACCTAATGAAATTCAGGTACTGATATACCTGGTTCTAGTTCACACAGTTGTGCTTCACTTGGGTCTGGCTACTGTGCTGAGCTCCTTATTGTTGTTGCCCTTAGAGGTGGGCCTGCTGTACCCGCATGGTAAGATGGTCTTTTTCTGGATTAGGTGTATGGTTTTTGACCCTAGTCTCACTGCAGGGACTTAGCTGCAGGGTTTTACCCCACGCCTGTATGGCAGGTCTAGTCTAGGTCTGGAGGCATATGAGGCAGGGAGGGCAAGAGTGCGCAGAAGTTCTCCTAGCGGGCCTGTGCTTTGGTGGGTCTGCGGGAATCCCAAGAGCGTGGCAGAAGTTCTCACAGGATAGGCTGTGCTGGCTCTGGATAGGCAGGCCAGGTCTAGAGAATGCGGGGAAAGGTTTGTCTCATGAGGTCTGCCTGGGCTTGGAGTGGGGGGCACAGGAGGGCCTAGGGTTGTTTGGATGTGGAGTGGGCCCAAGGTGCGGTGGAAGTTCTCACTCATAGGCTGGGCTGTCCTTAGTCTGGCGGGCTGTGCTGGGTCTGGATGGTTGGAGGAGGTCTGGAGAATGCAGGGAAAGGCCTCTCTAATGTGGCAGGCTTGGGCTTGGACCGATGGATGGGTGCAGGACAGAGCAGAAGCTCTCCCACACACTCACAGGGCCTGGGTTTGGTCAGATATGGAGCGTGCCTAAGGTGCAGCAGAAGTTCTCACTCACAGGGCGGGCTGCTCTGGGTCTGGCGAACTGTGCTGGGTCTGAACAGGCGGTGGAGGTCTGGAGAACTTGGGAAAAGGCCTCTCTCACACGGGGGTTCTGGGCTTGGAGTGGTGGATGCAGAAGGGCTCTTTTAGGCTATTTTTACAGGGTGAAACCATGCAGGCTGATATTTATATCTTTGATCCATTTTGATTTTACTTTAGTGCATGGTGATAGACCTGGCTCTAGTTTCAGTCTTTGACATTTTAGAAAGCCAGTTTTCCAAACATCATTTTATTAAAGAGGGTTTCTCCCAGTGGATGTGTTAGGTTCCTTTGTCAAAGATAAGGTGGGTGGCTGAATTGTTTGTACATATTTCAGTCTGTTCCATTGATCCTCAGGTCTGATTTTTTTTCTATAATTTTATTGATAAATAGCAATGAGACAGTTTCAAACCAAATCGGTAGGACAGTTTCAATAATTAACACACTGTATACATTCTTCTTAGTGGTTAATTGCTGTACAAGATGCGAACTTGAGATCCTATTTACAAACACCATTAGAACAAATCATTCTATTCATTAACAGAATGTAACTATATATCTATCCTAACCACTTTGAATACACAGATCTAAATGGACATTCATCTGTATACCCTTTTTTTTGTTAATTTCCGCTATTTGAATATTATAGGTGTGTAAACTCAGCAAAATATTCTAAAAGAGTCCAGTAGCCCATAATAGCATTGGGTCTTCTGTTTAACTGGCAATGTCAGAAATTGTTGACCTGAATCCCCCATAGCTGAACATAACAGCATGGCTTTACTTCATTGGCCAAGCAATGACTGTGACTCATCCACATGGCTGACACTGACAAAGGTTGTACAATCTGAGGTATAGGATCTCAGGATAAATCCTGAGGGGATTTCACTGACCTTAGCAGACCCAAAAGCTACAACTCTTGTTGCATAAGTCCTGCTTTACCTTGGTCTTAACCATCCAGTAGAAAAGTATAAAAAAGAAATGTGGGTCTCTTTTGGTTCAAAATAAATTTTCATAATGTTTTCTCTAGTTCTATGATGTATGTTAAAGGTATTTTTTTTTTTTTGCACAATTTCATTGAGAAACGAATAACAATGAGACAGCTTCAAATCAAATCGGTAGGACTATTTCAACAATTAACACACTGCATATTTTCTTCCCTGTGGTCATCCATTCTACAAGATGCAGACATGATATACCATCTACAAACACCACTAGAATAAATTCCTCTATTCATTGAACCAAGACAATGCAGCTATATATCCATCCTAACCATTCTGAATACACAGATACAAAATGGTCATTCATTTGTATCCCCCCTTTCCATTTAGTTCCGTCATCCAAACATTACAGGTGAGCGAATTCAGCAAAATACTCCAAAATAGTCAAGTGGTCCATAATAGTATTGGGTCTTCCACTTGACTGGCAATCCCAGAAGTTGTTGACCTTGAGTCCCCCACAGCTCAACATAATAACATGGCTTTACTTCTTATACTTCATTTTTATACCTTTCTGCTAGATGGTTAAGACCAAGAGAAAGTAAGACCTATGTAACAAGAATTGCATTTTTTGTATCTGATAATGTCAGTCAAATTTTCTCAGGATTTATCCTAAGACCTATACCTCAGTTTGTGGATACTTCGTCAGTGTCAGCCATGTGGATGAATCACGGCCATTGATTGGCCAATTTGCTTTCTGTGAAAGCCTGAGAAAATATTTTCTCTCCATGAGACTCTCCCTAGGCATACTCTACATCATTGATCACCTTTCTCCCTGGCCCCATAGTCTCCTTAATGAGAAAATTTGGGACATGCTAAAGGTATTTTGATTAGGATTTCCTCAAAACTGTATAACAGTTTTGGGGAGTAGAGCCATTTTTACTGTGTTGGTTCTTCTTACTCAAGAGCAAGGGATATATTTTCATTTTCTGATATTCTTTTCAATCTCCAGTTTTAGAGTAGTATATTTTTTAATGTAAAGGTCTTTTACTTCTTTTGTTTGATTGATTTTTAGGTATTTTAATTTTGGATGTGATTATGGAAGATGTTTCCCTAATTTCTATCTCAGTGAGTTTTTTTATTTTTGTACAGAAACACTATTGATTTTTGAGTTGATGTGTTCAGCTACATGCCTGAGTTTGGCTATTAAATCTAGGAGTCTTCTGTTAGAATTTTTGAGGCCTTCTCTATAGAATATTATGTCATCTAGAAATAATTTAGGGGGAAGTGCACTTCCGGTAGCGGTGCCTAGAGCGGCCGAGGCAAGATGGGTCAAAGTCTGAGTGGTGGCCATGGTCCTGGAGGTGGTAAGAAGGATAAGGATAAGAACAATAAATGTGAACCTCCTGTACCAACTAGAGTGGGGAAAAAGAAAACAAAAGGACCAGATGCTGCCAGCAAACTGCCACTGGTGACACCTCACACTCAGTGCTGATTAAAACTACTCAAGTTGGAGAGAATTATAGACTATCTTCTCATGGAGGAAGAATTTATTAGAAATCAGGAACAAATGAAACCATTAGAAAAAAAGCAAGAGGAGGAAAGGTCAAAGGTAGATGATCTGAGGGGGACCCCAATGTCAGTAGGAACCTTTGAAGAGATCATTGATGACAATCATGCCATCGTGTCTACATCTGTGGGCTCAGAACACTATGTCAGCATCCTTTCATTTGTGGACAAGGATCTGCTGGAACCCGGCTGCTCAGTCCTACTCAACCACAAAGTGCATGCTGTGATTGGGGTGCTGATGGATGACACAGATCCTCTGGTCACAGTGATGAAGGTGGAGAAGCCCCCCCAGGAAACCTATGCTGACATTGGTGGGTTGGACAACCAAATCCAGGAAATAAAGGAATCTGTGGAGCTTCCTTTCACCCATCCTGAATACTATGAACAGATGGGTATAAAGCCCCCTAAGGGGGTCATTCTCTATGGTCCACCTGGCACAGGTAAAACCTTGTTAGCCAAAGCAGTAGCAAACCAAACTTCAGCCACTTTCTTGAGAGTGGTTGGCTCTGAACTTATTCAGAAGTACCTGGGTGATGGGCCCAAACTTGTACGGGAATTATTTTGAGTTGCTGAAGAACATGCACCATCCATTGTGTTTATTGATGAAATCGATGCCATTGGGACCAAAAGATATGATTCAAACTCTGGAGGTGAGAGAGAAATTCAGCGAACTATGTTGGAACTGTTGAACCAGTTGGACGGATTTGACTCACGGGGAGACGTGAAAGTTATCATGGCCACAAACCGAATAGAAACTTTGGATCCAGCGCTGATTAGACCAGGGCGCATCGACAGGAAGATCGAGTTTCCCCTACCCGATGAAAAGACCAAGAAGCGCATCTTTCAGATTCACACCAGCAGGATGACACTGGCCAATGATGTAACCCTCAATGACCTGATCATTGCAAAGGATGATCTCTCTGGTGCTGATATCAAGGCAATCTGTACAGAAGCTGGTCTAATGGCGTTGAGAGAACGCAGAATGAAAGTAACAGGTGAAGACTTCAAGAAATCTAAAGAAAATGTTCTTTATAAGAAACAGGAAGGTACCCCTGAGGGGCTGTATCTCTAGTGAACCACAGCTGCCTTCAGGCAAGTGGTTGGGACTTTGCTCAACCCCTGGGAAGGATGAGATTTGGGAAGGTGCCTTGAGGGAGACAGTTGATTTTTATCGGTAGCATGGCATGTCTTTTCTAATATGACATATAGGGTGCCTACTGGACGGCCTTTGTCAGTGGTCACTGTGCTGCTTGCTCTCTGCTTCCCAATAAAATGTGCTCTTTCACAAAAAAAAAAAAAAAGAAATAATTTAGCTTCTTCCTTTCATATCTTCATTTTATTTCTTTCTCTTGTGTAATGAATCTAGCTAATGTTTCCAGAGCTATTGAATAGGTGTAATGATAGTGGACATCCTTGTCTTGTTGCTGATTTTTGAGCAAAAGTTTTCAGTTTTTGACCATTTAATATGATGTTGGTTGATGGTTTACTATAGGTGGCTTTTTATTTGAATTTTTTTTTTTTTGAGACAAAGTCTTTCTATGTAAAGTCTTTCCTTATATAGTCCAGGCTGGCATTGAACTTGCAGCAATCCTCATGCCTGAGCCCCTCCTTGCCCCCACCCCCATGCTAGGATTACAGATGTGTGCCACCATACCTAGCTGATGGGTTTTATCAGATTGAGATAAAGATAATCTATTCCAATTTTCTGCAGGTTTTTTTTTTTTTTTTTAAATCATGAATGGGTGTTGGACTTGCCAAATGGTTTTCTGTGTGTATTACATGATCATGTGATTTTTACTTTGGCTCTGTTGGTGTGGTGTATTACATTTATGGATTTGCATATGTTGAACCTTCCCTGCACCCCTGGGATGATCACTAATGTTGACTTTTACATTGTGTTTGCCAGCATCTTATGGCATCTATGTTCCCGAGGGAGGTTGGCCTATAGTTCTCTATTTTTGGTTGGGCTCTTATCTGGTTTGATATCAGGTTAATGCTTACTGCCAGGAGTGACTTTGAGAGTATTGTTTCCTTTTCCATTTCATTAGGGAATTTGAGGAGTAATGGCATTATATCTTTTCTAAGTTTCAAATTTCTCATAGAATTCAGCATTGAATCCATCAAGATCTTTTTTTTTTTGACATGAATATTTTTTAAGCAACTGAAGTTACTTTGTAAATTCATTTTGATATTCTGTTTTCATGTAACTTTTACCCATATGTTATAATTATATAGAAATCTAAAAGTCTTGGCATGTAGTTAAAGGTGCTACATTGTATACTGTTCAGTGCCCACATAATGCCAGGTCTGGTTAGTCATCCATCAAATGGGGATGGCAGCTGATAGCAGTGTGTGCTGTCTGCAGCCTGGCACAGTGTTAGATCCCTGTAGAAACCATCTTATCCTCACACAGCCTTGGGGTAGAAATTTCCAGATTGTGCAGTAGGGCTGAGGAGATGGGGACTCCCAGAGTAGGAGGAATAGCTAGTACTTGTTCTAAGCTTCTGTTTCTGAACCTTTTAGAGACTGAGTGCCTAAACCGTAACCCAAAACCCCCTTACTTATCACAAAGTGCCAACATTGCAGCTAAACCTGAATACTGAGGTTTTATCTTAGAAAAGTCAACTGCTATCCCCTGTGTGGCTGCGGGCGTGACTTGGCTCATGTGCCAACAGAGTGCTCTTTGTGCCCTCTGCAGTGTGTGTTCTGTAGGTTCACTACCACTGTTGTAAGCGCTTGACTTTATTCACATAGTACTTGTGCACTGGAGCCCATGTTGTGGGTGAGTAACCCGGGATGCATAGGATTTTGGCTCCAGTGTATAGCCTAAGAACATTTGTGTGGAGCACATGACTAGCAGCACAGCACCCCATCTCTCCAGGTCAAAGGCAAGGCATAGCCATGCTTGGTGCCCCTGTAGGATGCACACTGGGTATGGAGGAACCCAGGAGAATGATTTTGAGGGCTAGGGTGGTGCAGGAAAGAGCTCTTAAGCAGAACTGGGGCTATGAGCAGAAATTCCTGATGTGAGAAGGTGGCCAGGCATTGCTGGTGGAGGGAGCCAGGTGTGCAAATGGTTCCTGGGCAGAGTAGAGGCTGAAGGGGGTAGCTGTGAGTGGAAGTAGGTAGATGGATGTGCGTTCGCATGATGGGAAATGCCTCGAGCTTCACTTGTTTCAGGAGAGCATGTGATGGAGAACCTGTTTCGTGGTGCCTTTACCTCAGAAATGGGGATGGGGTCTTTGTGGTGAAAGGCTTTCACAGTGCTTCAAGGTTTTCACTGCTACTTGAAGTTCATAGGAAGGTGGCCAGTGCTAGCTTAGCAGAAAGATGGGCCGTTTGAGGAAGTCAGTGTGCAGACTTTTCCTTGAGAAATTGGTCCCACTTGGTTTTCTACTTTGGTTCTCTTTAGCCTGACATCTCTTACCCCTTTCAATTCTGAATTGGTTTATTGGGTTAAAATAGAAAGACAGAGTGGAGTTTGTTCAGCCTTTCATGGAACGTGAACCCCTGGGTCATTCAGAGGGTCTTGCATTATCTGTGCATAGCCTGGGAGGAAGGCCGCATCTCCAATCCCACAGATGAGTCCTGACCGAGCACCCACAGAGTATATCCAGTGGGAAGTTTGACTTTTAGGACTATAGTATAAATTAGAGGGGCTGGAAAGATAGCTCAGCTGTCTAAGTGCCTGCCTTACAAGTGCAAGGACCTGGGTTTGATCCCCGGTGCCACATACCATGCTGGCCCAGAATCCCAGGTGCCTCAAGCTGGCCACTGAAACCAGGTGTGGAGGAACATGCCTGTGATCCCAGTGCTGGGGAGACTGAGACAGTGAGACCTTGTACCAAGTGAAAAAAAAGTTAGAAATAGTAAAACTTGTAAAATTTAATCAGTGTTTTTTAGATTAGGATAGTTCCATAGCCTTAAAGAATAAAATAAATACCAGAAAACACACATCATCATGTTATAGATTGCTATGTAGGAAGAAGATAGGACCTGTGTGTGTGTTCATGTGTGTGTGTGTGTGACATTTGCACATACAGGGGTGCACAGGGGTACCAAGAGTAAGTGCAGAGTCCACTCCTCAGGCTTGTCCTTGCTCTTGCTGACCTGCTGACCTATCACCCTTGAGTCTTGTCATTTTTCTCAGAAGCTTCTCCTTGCATTGTGTATGAGCATGTGTCTGTGTGTGCCATCAGGTACTTAGGACTGCCTTATCCTTCCAGGATGCCTCTCTTTCTCAGCTGTGTCATGTATGTGTTAACTTCTGCCTTCCTCATTTCTGTCTTTCACCTGTGCACCCTGGAGGAATAATCCCTCACCTGCTGGCCAGCACTTGTCCTCCTATGTAGCTGGAGCAAATACTCCATAAACACTCACCATAGAAGGAAAGAGCATGAAGGGTCCAGGGAGGGGTACAGAGGAGACCACTGTACCCTTGCAGAGTGCAGGCATTTGCCCTGGGGACACGTGAGACTCTTTTCTAGCCTATGATGGTGGGAAAACCTTTACCTAACATTACAGGGTGCTAGGTCTCTGAGGTGATGAATCCCTCAGCTGATAGGTAAAGCTCACAGGAAACAGCCATTAAGAGTAGGTGGGGGGAAGGCATTCTCAGCAGTAGGAATCTGACAGAACAGGTATGGGTCTAGGAAGCCTGGAAATGCCCAGAGTCCACTGGCTGAGCTCTCTGAGGTGGCACGCAGTCAGTCCTGGGTAGGGCTTGGAAGTTCCTCCTGCTCTGTGCTGTGCTGTGTGCCTCCCCTACAGTGGTCCCTTTGTGTTAGTTATTGGTTCATTGTGAGAGCCCTCTTGGCAGACTGGTGGCTCTGACAGGGTGTCAGGATGCCTGTGGAAGCAAGGTGGAGCGGTTAGCATAGGGAAGAAGGGGTATAGGTGGGGCTGCAGAGGCTGGTGAGTGCCTGAGGAGAGGGCAGAGTTCACATCCTAGCTCTGGGAAGTCCTGGTTGTCTTCCTGAGCCTAGTTTGTTGGTCTATGCCATTTGCCTGCTGTGCATGTAGAGTAGGAAGGAACTGAAGGAAAGGTGATTTAGGCACCGTGCAGTGGGGCTGACACTCAGGGCCTCCTCTCTTCCAGAATCCTGCACAGAGCTGGTGCTCAGACCCTCAGAGTTTGGTGCAGCTGTCCCTTAACAGCAGTAGGTGGCCTGAAAGGCTGTGAGTCCCCATCACTGGTGGTGTTTTTGCCAAAATTGACTGATGGCTATAACATCAACTGCTTCTGTAAATGTTTCACTGTCCTACGTGGTCTTTATGCTTTTCCACTAAGGTGCTACTCTTTTCCCATGTTACCGTTGTAAGAAGGAAAAGATGAGACTGAGTGCCAGTAACACACCCTCCAGGGCAAGCTAGGAAGGGGATAGAGCTGGTCTTTTTGCAGGAGAACATGATCACAGAAACTTTGTCTTTTTAAAAAAAATCATTTATTTATTTGTTTATTTGGTACAGGATCTTGCTATACAGCTCAGATTTGTAGTGATCCTCCTGTCTCAGCCTCCCCAGCACTAGAAAACAGGCTTACACCACCATGCCCGGTTTTGGTGGTTGGCACAGTGCTCCTGGGAACCTGGAGCTGGCATGGCATGCAGTACCAGGGATTGAACCTGGGTCCTCGTGCTTTCCAGGCTGGTGCTTAGCCTGGAGAGCTATCTCCCCAGCCTGAAACTTTTTCTTTTAGTAGCAGGTAGACCAAAAGCTTTGAGAGCCTTTCCCTGGTCAGCTTCTTGAACACATGCATGGCTATATGAGGAGAAGCCTGGAGTGGGTGCCCTGGGCACAAAGGACGACACTTTCAATGGGCACAACACTGGCTGTAATAGGACGGGTAGGCAGGTGTCTCCAGGGAGCAGAGGGAAGGGCACCTTGCAGAGATGAGCTCAGCATCCTTCGAGGTGGGCCGGTGCTGCTTGATTTCAGTATCCTTTCTGTTTCCTCACCTGTAAGATGACTTGGACATCTTTTCTAGTTTAAGGAAGTCTATGTTCCTTCTGTGATGGCAAGCTTACCTTGCAAAGGAGCACCTGTGTGTCCTTCCTCAACAGTACAGAACCTCGTGGCCTGTGCTGAAGCAGGTTTCCAGGCGGATAGCTTGTTTTATTTATTTATTTGTTTGTTTGTTTAT